AAACCGGCTGCGCGTTTTCTGCCTCGTACTTCGAAAACTGCGATATTAAGGACTTCGCCATTGTGCGTAAATTTTATCACGGGACACGATGAGTCTCGAGTATCTGTTCGAGTGCTTAGTTCAAAGTTTGGAGCTTGACCAGAGTAGCTGAAGCTCCCACTAGCTAAGCGTTGGGTAAACGGGAGCGTTCTTGTTTCTTCGTCGACATATCTCTCGGAACTTATAAATTTCCGTGTTTGGACGAGTCGCAGCTGGTGCCGGACCGGTCTCACTGCTATTCGGGACCCTTCTCTATCCGGAAAATTTCCGCTTCCCCCCTCTGTCCCGTCTTTCTTCCTTCATCCATCGGTAGCTGCAGCTTTCAAAAGACACGTGACTCTAGGCACACCCAAGATTTCTCGCGCATATATACTGTCTTTAAGGATCTTGAGGATCGTTGTCCGATGATGTACGATATAACACGCGACACGCGTGATACAACAGAACGCGTTTTCAAATAGTTGAACAGTTTCACCACGATTAGGGATAAGATCAAGTTCAATATGTACTTAAAAATCAGAAATGTCCTTCAAATCCAATAATCAAGTTTTATTTTCTAGGATTCGAGTAATATTTATAAGAAATAATATTTCATATGCTGTATCTGCGAAGTAATCGATCTCGATTAGTCGGTTTCGATTTTTAGAATGAGCACCTGTATAGAATTCGAGCAAAAGAAACGGATATCAAGAAGCAAAGGATTATAAATGTTTGATGGTTAATCCTCACTTGCTTACGTTAAATCTAATCTTGAATTTCCTTGTCGATTACTACTATATTGTCAGAGTCCATAATTTGAAACAATTTTCAGTATACATTCGATTAATTCTTTTGCTCACATAATTGAGCTTATTATGGAATTTGGTATTTTGAATTCTAAATTTTTTAATTGAGATGAATTTTTTCGAGATGGAAATATGCACCAAAATAAAATCGCACGTTTTATCCATTAAAATAATATTCGCCGCTCGTAGCTGAAGCGCGCGCGAGTCTGCGTGAGCGGACGTTACGCTGAAAAGCATGCAATTAGAAAATAACCTAAATTCAAGGCGATTCGCGATTCGCGTTAAGAATTATTTCACCAGTCGGTCGAAACGAGGAGAAACTTGAGCTCGAGAGGCGACACGACCGGCAGGGAAATGGCCAATTATTAGAAGGAACGTGGGTCGTACTTAAAGTCCACTACTAGTTAGGGCAAAGTACGTTTTTATCTCGGTCTCTTTCTCCCTCCCTCCCCGTTGACATCGTCTATTTCCTCCGAAGTTGAGCTTCGTGTACGCTTCGCGAGGAAAACGTAACGTTACGTGTAAATACGTCCTTTTCCCTCGTTTCATTCGACATGAGAAATTGCTCCGCATCACGGAGCAAAGGCTCGGAGATAACGAGATATCGCGGTAATGTGAGGTAAGGTAAGGTGCATTCGCAACTGCATACCGGATATCTCTCGCGCATTAATTCATCTATAATGTACTCGATGCCGGGACGATCTCCTGACTGCTTTCGATCTGCTATCGAACCTTGAAAGGTACGTGAAAAGTGTCGGTAACAAGAGTGACTAGTCGCGATTGAATATTTGAACGGCGATTGACGTCATACTCTTTGACGTAGGATTTCGCGCTCGTGCGTGTCGTGAATAGGCACACGTCGCGTGTTGTGTGCGATACCTACTTAGAAAAATTACTTCAATAGTTTTCTCCCGCGATGACAAAGATACAACGGTACCACCTATTACTTACGCAGTCCGTATCGTCCGTAAATTAAACCGTGATGAATCACGATGGAAACACGTACGTGCGATAAGATTCGAGAAAAGGTGCGTCGCCGACGGTACTTAGATCCGATTGCTTGACTTCTTACCTTACTTAATTGTAATTCTCGGATAAGTTAGCGGAATATATACTTGCACCTTTTACAACCTTTTTTCAGGACAAAAGAAGTAAATCGGATCTATTTACTTACCGTGTTCACGGCAATGTGTTTATTGGGACAAGGCCATTGTGTAAATATCATTAGCTATAATTGTTTTTCAAGTCTAATACTAATGTATTTATACATGTTTTTTTTGTGTGTATATATAATGAAGTTTGGTATGCGCACATTGTTTCTGTGAAAAATATGTTTATTTATATTTATTTTTATATTACATCTCTGCATGCGATGTCAGATACAATATGCGTATATCATATCTTATTTAATTGCTAATATACAGCAGTATAAAAATCAAGATACGCATTTGTAAAATATTCGACAGTGTTCATTTAATTAATAAGTCAGCATTTGTGCACTGATTGGGCAGAATCTGAGTAGAGTCGAAATTAATAATTCTCAATGATCATTGTCAATACTATACTCTGAATAAATACTATTAGATTATTGCACGTATACCTAATGTGATTTTTTTAAGTAAAATTTTAAATTGTAACTTTGTTTACAACATTTCATTAATTGAGATAAGCCAATAAAACGCAATACGGTTTCCCTGACGTAATACAAATGCGCTTATATCCTCATTAATCTGCATTTCTGGAAACGATCAATTGTCCCTAAAGACGCTTTTGACTGAAGTAAAGAAGTTTCATATTATAATTGGTCAATATTATGACTGTTTTTACGACGTGCGATCGAGCGTTGTCACAAAGTAGTACAACGCCATGTGTATTGACTGCGGTGTAGGTCGTCTCGTATATAATTTTTCATTGCGTTTGCTGATGTTCCGCACGATATATCTCTGTATTCTTTTATTGGTTTCGCCCCATTTGAGGAAAAAATAGTGAATAACGCCGGCCGCAGGCCACCAACGGTCACCTTTCAGTAATCTTTCTTGATGAAGAGTTCGCTTCGGCATGCGTTTCGGTGTTTTGTCAGCAAGCCATTAAGCGGGTCGACGATTGTCGTATAGAATCGACTTTTCATCACGTATTACAATCCACAAAAAAAGAAAAGAATCCCTTTTGTGCGAGAAGAGAGCTGCAAACATCCAATTGGCATGCTATATTTCTTTCCGTTAATTCATGGGGGATCCATTTATGCAACTTTTTTTTCACTTTCTCAACGGCTTGCAGGTGACGGGAAACGGTTGAGTAATGCACGCCTAGTTTTTCTGCGATATCTCGCATAGTTTGACGTGTGTCGGATTCCACTAAAATTCACGACTCATCACTGGTCAATGATGAACTTCTTGGAGTCGATTCGTTTTTCGAGGCTCATTTTCTGATCGAAATTTTTCGAACCAACACTATCTTGCTTGTCCGCTAATCGTATCTTCTGTAAATACCGCATTGATATTTATCGCGTATTATCTGGGCTATATCGTATCCAAGTAAATATGTTGAAACTCGTACAAGAAAAATTACGCGTTTTTATTGTTATCCATGCATTATGTTATCTTTTCATTCTAATTCGTTATGCATCAAATTGAGAGATGAAATAGCCTAGAGGTTTCTTTTTTGCAGTAGAATCGATCGATCAGATCTATAAAACATTAACTTGGCGTATTTATATTTCAAATATATTTAAAATTTCTTTTTTTTTTTTTGCTTTGATTAAATTGTTTATAAAAATGGAAAATCACAGAACTTACTAAAAAAAACAAAGTTATTATATTAATTGATATGACCTGACACGAATAGAAAAAGAGAAAGATTGTCATTTTCTCCACTGTATTGAAAATATGTTGAAATGTAAGTATAGGAAAATATGATATTTAAATTGGGAAATACGCTCTTTATAAACTCTAAAATTTACCGCGAACTTAAAGCATCACTGATTGTTATACAAAATTGATTCAACACACGTCATCAATGCTTTCACTATTTATGTATCAGATGTATATTTACATGTATATAGGTGTATGTATATGTGTGTATACTACAAGCGTGACACGTGTTATTCAATTTTCAACGTGTGACGATCTCGTACACTCTTATCATATCCTCTGCGAAAACTTATGCATATCAATTACAAGTATGCGAGGCTTGATCGCTAACTCTTACATCAGAATTTGCAGAAGGACGTCGCATGGACGACGTTTCTTACATATTCTTACATATATTCTTACAAATTCAGACAATATCTCTAAACGAAGAGCAAAACTGAAGATGCTTTTCATACAATATAAGATTCTAAACAATCGTTGAGCCCCGTTATAAATTTAATTCATCCAGCTATTATTGAGATCCGATAAGCATATATCGGCTCAATTAAGCGGCTCGCGTATAGATACTCGGTCTGTCTTGCTGTTGCCGCGCGTGATACGATCGTGTCTCTTGGTGGATTTTCAATCGTTTAATTTGCAACTTTACCACGATAAACCCAATATTTGATCGCGACACTTTTGTTCTTTCTAAAATCCTTATCTCGACTCAAATTCCTTTTAAACGATTGAAAATATTGACCTTTGAACGGAATAAAACTTTTTCAATACATTAAGTACATTAAAATAGTTATCTTCACGATTTTAATTCGAAAAAAATTGTGACGTAAGAAACCATGTGGAATTCCAGAGTTATACTCGGTTCTAAAAACTTAGAGGAATGATTATTTTATTTCTTGGGTTTGAAAAGGCATTATTTCCATTGAATTTTTTTTTCTTTTCTTTTCTTTCTAATGATTATAGGTATATATAATAACGCTTGACAGAAGCATAAGATCGTGGCGCGTCTTCACTCATTCGCTTACTCATATTTTCTCTTTTTCTCTCTCGCGCGCATAATTTTTTTTTTCTCAAAAAAGAATCCGTGCGAAACGGTTAAAGGCGACAGCGAGCGATCGAATCGAAAAGAGCGTACTCCACATTGTAAAGCGAATCCAACAGTCCTCACGCGGCCCAACAGCCGTCCCATCCTGCCTGTCATCGGCCTGGTGGGCCCGGTGAGGCCTGGTGGGGCTCGCTAGATCCCGAAGTCTTCACCCGAGATAAAACACATTATAAACGGCCGCCCGGGACGGGTATCTGGTTTCAGGGAAGCGGCGGCACGTGCGCCGGAGTTCGGGCCCAGGTGGTGTCGCTCGCGCTGCCGAGGAAACGCAAGAAGGAGAGGTCAACCATAGAGGATGCCGCGAGGCGGGCGGGGTATCATCAATCGAGGAGATTAGCTCGTCGGTGGCGAGGAGCAAAGTCCCCTGCGACGACGACAACGACGGCGTCGCCGGCCACCGTCATACGCCGCCTTACCTCTGCCATCTCCGTTATCGTAGTCATCGTCATTCGTCGTCGCGTCAACGATACCACCATCGAAGGGACATCGGCGACGGGGGCAGCGACGGCGACGGCAACGATAACGGCGACGACGATGGCGGCGATGACGAGAGAGACGAGAACGACGAGAACGATGAGAATGACGAGAATGACGACGACGACGACGACGAAGAAGAAGAGAAGGAGGAGGACGATAAGATGTGTCTCGAACGTCTCCATCCTCGCCTTCATCGGTTCTACGATCGGCGGTCTCCCGGAAGCAGCGGCGACGTCGATGCCGAAGTCGAGGTCCATCGAACCGAGACGACGACCGTCCATCCTCTCGCACGAACCTCCTCGCCTAACGCGACCACCGCCGTCGCTAACCCCTCTGTCGTCACTGCCATGGCGAGAGGATGCAAAATTCCGCCTTACCTCACGACTATACTACTTCTTTCCTACACTCTCTTCGGTATAGCAGGTTGGTATTGGCACGCATTATACTCGGACTCGTATTCGCGCACCTCGTGTTCGTGTATATATAGACAGACGCGACGCGGCTTACAATTAGAGGAATGAGCTACATTTTAACAGAATATCTTTAAAATTGCGTTTATACCCCTTATTTGCATTTATAAGCCACGTTGCAATTTGGCGGTCGTCCATATTATCGGGAACAAGAGAAGAAGGAGAAACGCCCACGGAAATAACGTGTACTTAAAGAGGATAAATTATCGTTTCGCATTACACGGTGAATCAGTCGCCCGTGTTACGTTCTTCGCCACTTGTTACGCTCGTTGCGCCACAATCTTACAATCTGTCGTTTTTCTCTCCTTTTTTCTCTCTCTCTTTTTTTTGTGAACAAGGCAGACAAAAGTGCTGCCGTACAGGAATATTTCCGTGCCGAGCGAAGCGCCTTCGCCCTCGCGACAAAGCGCTCATTTTATGCGCGACTTATACCAGACGATACGAGCAAATGTGTGTAATGTAATAGTACTCGCGCGTCACGTTGCACCTGGTCCCGACGTAAAACCGTCGAGATAATCGACGTTGGAGTATCGTTATCCGTTTCCCTGTTCCTCACGCCTCTCGCGTCGCGCTGCAATTACAAAGGCGCTCCGCCAACTTTAGCGTATGCCTGTCAAACACGCTTATCTTCCCCGCACACATCTGCACTCGCGTATTTATCTCTCGGTATACCGTAAAGACGAAGCGACTGGTACAATGAAATCTGAATCGCCAACCGAATAACGATGATGTGACGAGATGTAATTTTTAATCGTAAAACTCAAAGATGATTTTTAACTGTAAAATGTTTACCATGAGTAAAGTCAAAACGGTAAGAGAGGAAGAGGGGCGAGAGAGAGAGAGAGAGAGAGAGAGAGAGATTGCACGCGAGTTTCTCGTAAGGAAAAGATAAAACGCCGCGCCTGCTCGATAAACTGGAGCGTACGGAGCGTGAAGCGTTGTCGGGGTGTGGAAACGGCAGATTGTAAAATTACAACAGGTGACGGACAGCAGCCACGCGCGGGACAGATGCAACCATCACCGCCTTAGCTGTACTTTGCAGCTTTGTGTACAGTCTCGCGCCTGCGAGATGCACGCGCTCTCATCCCCCTCCGTCCTCCCCCGCCTCGCCTCACCTCACCTCACCACACCTCACCTCGCCTGGACTTGCCTCGACTCGACTCGACTCGACTCGCCTCATCTCGCCTCGCCTCGCCTCACCTCACCTCACCTCACCTCACCTCACCTCAACTCAACTCAGCTTACCTTACCTCACCTCAGCTTACCTTACCTTACCTTACCTCACCTCTCTTCATCTATCCTCTCCTCCTGTCCTCTCCTCATCTCACCTTGCCACACCTCGCTTCACCTCGCATCTCCTCTCCTCACTTCGCCGCACCTCGCTTCATCTCGCCTTTTCGCTAGGGTGGCCACCGCCACCGAAGCCGCGTGCGTAGATGTTTGGAAAAAAAGCGAGGGTGTGTGTAAAAGAGCGAGGAAGAGCACGGCCCCTGTCCATTGTGTTCAACGAACCTGGAAAAACCGACAAAATTCCTCTGAAGCACCTTCAGTAGTTTATCCGGTTATTCGCCCGCTCTCAATAATGGAACACTCGTCAGTCGTTAATTATCTTCGATACAACTGATTATCTGTATGGAATGCGAAATGATACACTTTATTATATAGTCTCTAGTAATAATAATAGTAATGAAAGAAGTAAACTGTGTGTAATATGTACAATACTATTGAAGTGGGCAAATTTGAAATTGTTAAACTTGAAATATTTTCTGATAAAACGTTTGCGCGAAAGAAAAAAGCGTTGTACACGATGTAATCGCCATGCAATGTAAATGTAAGAGGACCTAATGACTTTTGTGTTTTATCAACAGATGCCTGCTCGTCGCGTTCAACGCCGAAACCTAGGCCGCCGACGCCGACGGATCGGCCGAATATCACATTCCACATGTACGCGTGTCCGCCGGATTACGCAGAGTGGTATTGCTTGAACGGCGCCACGTGTTTCACCGTAAAAATCGTCGACTCCCTCCTGTACAACTGTCTGTGAGTACGGCTCCATCTCGAAACTATGCGCCCACCCAACAAACGTCGGCCGGCAATAAATTCGCCATGAAAATTCCATTCCGCGGATTTTCCTGCGGCAAAAAAAAAAATTCCGCAGACTACGGCGTGACAATCGAAATCTTTGAAAGTGTCCTGACATTTGTGCGAGAGCACGTACGGGAGTATTGTGACCCCGGTCTCCATCGGGCGCCTCACTGTGCGACGCGACCACGAACAATCGCGGCGGTTCCGGGCGAAAGAGCCACCGAGGGAGAGACGGCACCACTCGCGTCGTTTAGCCGTTAATCTGTGACTACGCGACCTCGGCACGTACGTTGAAATTCCTGTCGGCTCGTATTTGACTGACATTTTTCTCAAACTCGCTACCAACGCTTCTTTCGACTCGATCTGTATCGACGATTTCTCTTTTTTTTTCCTCTTTTTTTTGCTTTTTTTTCACGAATACGGTAACTATCGTTCGATGGCGATTCGATGCATTTGCAAAATTAATGCTGGAGGTTGCAGCGAGGTTGAATTTAAATATCGCGATTGGAAAAAAAGTGTATCGAGTAATCGGATTAACATCGGGATAGCATCGCGAGGAGTGCGGAGCAGCACATCGTGCTCACTCAACCGTACTATTTCCCACGGTGTTTGCTTTGTCGACCGCGATCTGCCGCTTGAACCGAAGTCCGTCTCTCATCTCGCGCTTGTCGCGTCCGATTTCAATTAATCTAACAGTCATATTTTCTCGTGAATTTTTAAATACCGCATAACAAATTTTATCAAATGCGGTCTAGTAGTAATAAAAAGAGCCTGTAAACTGCAAACGATTGATTGCCTACATTTTTAACCCTTAAATGCCACCCGGGGTCCAGCGGACCCCAGACCCTTTAGAATGATATATTTTCAAATGTTCCCCCCAAAAATGGAGCTCATGCTCCCATTGATGATAGTTGAGTGATTGACCTACCCGGTTGTACACTTAGCAGTACTCAGTTTACTTAATTTTTTATACTATGTTGAAATTAAAATTTTAACAATATAAGCATTTTATTCTCTTTTCTAAGCCTTGAACAACATTTTCATAACTAAATATCAAAAAATCAATGAGTAGGGAAACATTTTTCATGCTGGGGTCTTTCAGACCCCATGTGTCATTTACGAGATTCTTGAGAGGTGTGGCATTTAAGGGATAATATACATATAGTTATATTTGCGTGGTTTCACGACGAAACTGAGAAACAGAACTTAAGGGCGGTACTCGTGGTCCGATCTTATTCAAAATCGTCTCAAGTTTGGTCATGGGCGGTCTTAAGATTTCATCCAGCCAATCAAGTGACCCGTCTTGAGATTGTATTAAGGGGGATGTTCGCTTAAAATTACCTGAAAAATAGGCAATTTTTTGAAATTTTTTTCTTATAAACGAAAAAATCTAGAAACTTGTAGTTTTGCATGCGTATTTGTTACTGTTTTATTATTATTTTTATATGAAAATAATTAATATTTATTAAACTATAAGGCGCGATCGTTTCGAAATATTTGTCCTCGATGGTTGCCATGATATGTCAAAAACTAATAAACCGATTAACTTCAAATTTTATACAAAGATATTCTATATATATATATATATATATATATATATATGTATCTTTATATCTCCTACATAAATTATAGAAATATTATTAATATTTTTATTTTTTATAATAATTAAAGTAAAAAGATTTGGTAAAAAATTTAATTTTTTCTTTAACATGCCATTATCTTTTTTGCTTAGCTTTTTATGAACGATTGAGATGGGATATAGAGACAAGCCCACTGATTAAAATAAATTTTAATTTTTTTCTTTATTTTTATTCAATTAGAACCGGCAACCATCGAGGGTAAACAATTCGAAACGGTCGCACATTGCACCTTACATTTTAATAAATATTTAGAGTTACTTTTTATACAAAACGTGATAGAGAGAAAAATTATGAAATAGTAACAAATGCGTATGTAAAACTACAAGTTTCTAGGGTTTTTTCATTTATGAGAAAAAAATCCTAAAAATTGCTTATTTTTCAGGCTTTGAACGAAAGTTTTTTAATTCTTTTAAAAGACCCTTTTAAAATCTTAAATAAGATCAAGCTATAAATGAGTTTTTTATTTTCTTTTTACGAGCAGTAACGCGTGAAATTGCGATCGAGTTGAGCGGTAAGGAGATATATCGGAAGGATGTCGATCGTCAATCGATAATCTTAAAGTAAATTTCAAAACGTGAATGGAGGATTAATCGATCAATGCCATCTTTGTGAAAAAAACGAAGGGGATAATACATCGAATAATGTTGCGTGCGATCGAGCATCAACACACTGCCGGTCAAAAGTTTCAGGCCATTTATTGGAAATGTTTACTATATAAAATGAAATCAAACTTACGTATTATAATTTAATATACTTTTATTATTTTGTTCATTATTTTATAATAAAATAAAAAATAATATAAAATAAAAATTCTACAGAAAATATTTATTACAAAATGAAGAGTATTAGAAACTAAAAAGGGATAGGCTATATTTATTTATTCAAAACTCGTAAACGTAAATGTTCGTGTTTTCTTTTCAATCTTGTTCAATTAATTGTACTGGCGAGGCTCAGATTATCTGAGTATTATTTAAAATTGATTATATCACATAATCAACGCACTCGGTAAACCAATCTACTTGATCAACTAACGATTGTTTTAACTCTCGCTTATAAATAAGTTCAATTAAGTATTTATTAATTGGCTTTCGATATAAATACATTTATCTGATTACCGGTATTTGGAGTTTAAACAGTTGGAGTTTAAAGAGCATGCTTCATATTTTTCCGTTATTCGAATTATGAAAGAAAAAGGAAACGTATATGAATCACGTATTTGTGATGATTCGATAATATCAATTAATGAAGTTATGATATTTTGCTTCGCAGATGCGCCAATGGATATATCGGGCAAAGATGCGAGTTTAAAGATTTGGATGGTTCCTATTTACGTAAGTAGACTCTTACTGTTCTTGATTCTTTGAATAACTTTGGCGATGCGATACGGGGATAGTTTCCGAAAATATTCCAGTACTGAAATGTAAATGACAGTAAAGAATATATTTCATTAATGATAGACATTTCCAGAGGAAATTACACTTTCCTCTTACATCTTTTATACATTTAACAATGTTTATAATTCCAAAACTAAAAACTCATGCTCTACATTTTTTTTTCCAAAAACAGTTAACTTTACTCGTATAGGTGCAAGATAACATCCTAGCTTTAGAAATTTACAAAATTACAGTATAAAACTTTTTTATTGATCAAATGCTGCACAAAATGTTTCACAATTAAAGATAATTTTAGCTCTTATCTTTATCTAGAAGATATATGGAATATTATCAACCTTTATTTAATTGTAAATTATCCAAGAGAAGAATGAAAATTGAGATATAACGTTTAAATATAAAGTACACTCCATACGAATAATTTTGTTGAAAAACCATGCAAATAACGTAGGTAGTGTTAAGAGCGATTATTGAATCGCATTATCAAAGTTATTGGAATATTTTATCCTTCGTCCGAATATTATTTAAGAAAATACATTATTTAATAAAATGAGAAATAAAAATATCATCCTTTTCCTTGACAGCCTCACGGCAACGAGTAATGTTGGAGACAGCCAGCATCGCCGGTGGTGCTACAATAGCAGTATTCCTCGTCGTTATCATTTGTATAACAGCTTACATCCATTGTAAGCGGAAACAGAAGGAATTACGGTCGAGGTAATTAATTGTTCATTATCCATTATCATTATTTCATTTGTAGCAAGGAACTCGGTCGCAGCTTTGACTTCTCGGATGGAATTCGCGACCTTATTGATACGGATTCTTTACGGACTCCCAGCAAATATTACATTCGGCTTTTTTCTTCTCGTTGCAGCAATAACTGCGTCGACACGGTGGATGGTCCTGGCCGAGATCTGGAGCTAAGGCCGTTCAGCAATCGCTCTCTTATCTTCATGGCCAAGAATACTAACAGCTCGGTAAGATAAAGCTCGAGTCTCTATCGAGGCACTATCAATATATTAACGCCGTATAAATAACGAAATGCAGATAATTTGCAACGATCACAGTAATAATAATACATCATCCGAAATATATCTCCTCTTAGGCGACGATAGAGCAGACGAGAATGCCCAACAGATATTGTCCAGAAACGGAGTCGACGAGGATGGCATCCATCAGCGAGAGCAAGCACTCGAGCCAATAGCGAATTACGTGACGCGTCGTCTGTATACAACGTTTTGCCGCGATGATTCGTTATCGGCGACATACTCGAGATGTACGAATGATCGTCGAGTGAACTGCTCGATTAGCTGAAGGTAGTTTGAGACAGCAGCGGCCTTTAGTAGCCTTTATTAGCGAACTTGTTGGGAATATACCAATTGTTTGATTCAGCGAGTGATGAACCATCTTAACACGGTGCTGAAAAAAAAATCGAGCACGTAAATCAAGCACGTTAATAATTTCTCTGAGCTCATGGCACGCACCGGCACGACGATGCCGGGCTTTCTTCGATTATTATATCGTTATGTCGAGACATTCCCGTATTGTCGCACTCGTGTCCTCCGTTTGATCGAACGTTTGACGCTCGTCGATTATCATGTATTCCTTCTACGAACGAACATCCCGATGAACGATTTGCGAAGAATAAATTTTTCATCCAAGTCTAAAAACGAAAAGGGACTTTGCACGAATAATGTGACGTTCGAAGACGAAACATTTCCGTAGATTCTTCTGTGAAGGTGACAGATTCGCGACCATTGAATGTTGTTTTTATAGCAAACGTTTGTATAGTATCGCGTCTTATTGTCATCACTCACTATCAACGAAGAGAAAGAGAAAGAAAAAAAATAATACACGCATCAGTTGCAAAAGTAGTGCCTTTCTGCTCTCGTTTGTAAGAAAGCAAATAGTTGTGGTACACCTGATCAAGAGAGATCAAATAGGAAAGGGAGATAGAGAACGAGAAAATCGCCCGTCTATTTCTCTCACTAAAAATTCGCGACGAGCGTCGTTCAATTTGCTAACCGTGTTATGAGCGCAGGACGCTGATACACGCTAGTGACGAAATCTTCTTGTAAAACACGAAAATTAATAGCTGTAAAGCGCTGATAGTAGACAAGGTAATTGTCCTTTGATCCTTGGTACGTATGATACTCACGCTCGATCCTAACTCCGTTTGTTATTCGTGAAAGACATTAATCTGATATATCTCCGGATATATATGACGATGATAAACATAAATGCATTCTGTGAGATATTTCATATGTTCTTGTGTCGCAGAGGTCTAATACATCGCTAGTAGATTAACAGCAACTTGCATTGTACTTTCACCGGGCTCTTCCAAAGAATGTTCGCGAATGCGATTGAACGTACCATTAGTATCAAAGGGTTAATGAACATATGTGTCTTATGTAGAAGTATCTAAGATTTAAATCTAGATTAAATCCGATGTCTTACCAGAAAGCAATAGTTCCCTAAGCACATATGAAGTACATTTTGCCGCTAAAAATAGAGATGCTATTTATTACTAATCAGTTAGAAAGTCTATTGACGTCAGATCGCCATCCGGCGTTGTACTGTTACATATTGACAAATATTTTCTCAAGACGTTTTGCTCCTGTAACGCGAAATATCGTTTACCAAATCTTAGGCACACAAAAATGACGTACTTATAGTGAATCAATTTTCATTTCCACATCTGTAAGCGGTAAAAATAAAAAGGGGAATTTAAAGCGCCGTTAGCTATTATTATAAAGTAGAGCAACAAATAAAGTAGAAGACGGTAAATTCAATGACTTTGTAAGCGCAGGGTTATAATTTGCTAACCTCGTGATAGAAAAACTGCAACTACATAATTTACCTCGTCTGTTTACACGGAAGAAAGTTAAATATGAAATTCAAAGAATTTCTAGCACTTTTTCGTCCTATTTATATCTCGATTCCAGAACAATTAAATGAATACCGAATGATATACGCGTATATCATTTTAGATATTAATTCCGATTAATTATCGTTTCTCATTAGCATTCGTCTCATACGTAAAATAAAGGAGTAAACATGCCGGCATTGTTAAATTATTTGGCAAACTCAAGGAAACTGCTATATCGTCTAATATTAAATTATATATTGATCATGCGCATCGTTCTCTCTTGTTTCGTTATTTATTTATTTAGATGAAAGGCTTGGTCTCCAATTACATACACAATTGCAACCAGATTTATCATTTTTCTCACATTTCACTTTTCTATTCGAACCTTTCCAACTTTCCTTGATTCATGTAGCCTTAAAAGTGTTTTGTTAACAATGCAATAGAGTGGAATTGATGTGTATATTTGGAAATATCTCATCGCGTAGAAAGCTGAGCCTCCTTGTCACTTTGTCTCAGCTTCTTGTAAATAGTAAGTTATTTTATGTTAAAGAAAATCCCGAATCGTAAACTATATTAATTATTAAAATAAAAGCAACGTTTTCGTCGCGCCACGTCGTATTACGCTGTACTACGTTCCATCAGCCTGATACCTCATCGTACTACGATGCACTGCGCTTCAAAAGAAAAACCGAAATGCATATTTTTATAATTATATAATTCGTTAAAAGAACATACCTGATGGGGTGACAGAAAAGGTACTGAAGATATTGAACGATGATTCAATAGTAATTTGTATATTTGTAGATACTCTCGAGTAAAAAAAAAGAAAAACTTCCAAACATCTTGTTTCATCTTTTTCACATTAATCACCCACCCGTCGCTCGTCGCTTTGAGACACATTTAATAATGATAATTATGACAACAAACTGCTTTCTCTATACAAACTACTCAAGGTTTCTGCTTACTACAAAGAGAAAGAGAGAGAAAAAGCTTAAAGTAAGAAACGAAAGCGTGGCCTAAACATTTATAAAAGCGAATACAAATGGTATTTTTATTATTTATAAATAGTCCTCATTAACAAAATGTATTCTAATTTAATTTCCCATATTTCATATTGTACGTGGTTCCTAATTTATTATTACTATATATATATATATATATATATATATATATATATATATATATACATATACATATATATAATATACTATATAATAATAATGATGTATATTGTTGTTATTATTATTAGTATTATTAACTAATGTAATTATGACTATTTGTTTACTATTAGAAATTATTCTTATTATTTCAATAGAACTATTTAATAAGGACCTGTTTGTGAAAAGGAATGTATGAAATACACAGTATCGAAACGAGTGCTGAGAATAGAATGTGTGATTGTGTGCACTGTGTCAACATCCAAATCCAGAATGCGTATTTAAAGCGGAACCATCGGATGACACGAGAGGGAAAAAAAATAGCATTTGCTTCTAATTTCGTGCGTTTGATGCTATTTCTAAAGAACTTTGTCAGTAAAACATTCGCTGTAATACGTCAATATCTTGAAACTGGTACCTCCATTGTACGCATACATGTATAGCTAAACAGTAAAATTGACTGCCCTATATTTTGCACCATGTTATGTTTTCTTCTGTTTCCAAATCGAACACGACGATATTAATTGTTCCATAAACACAAATTAGACATGTGTAATTTGTTTCATTTGTATATCTGTATATATGTAAGAAATAATCTTGAGTTTCTTTTAAAAAGAGCTGGATGTATGTTTCATTATATTAAAAAACATTTTGTTACGCATAAAATAGATGTACTCTCGATGATCTTAGAGTTAAAAATCTCGGCGATATAAATCTAAGAAACATTTGTATTAGAAATTTTACATCTGTATTCAAGAGTAACGATTTTTTTTGCTAATTAAACTATCATGGTTAACAGCAAAAAATTTCTCAAATATTCTAGGAATTTCATTAAAAGAAAACGATGTTTTATAATAAAAAGAAACAAAAGAAATAACGATCAAAATTAAGTAATTACAATATTTGATATATTTATAGCAAATATGATGTACTTTGAAATACACTTTCCGTTAAAAATTATATAATATATTGTCGATTGCTAAATTCTGATACGTTACAGGTTTGTCGATGAATATGTCTCATAATTGTTTTGTCGTTGAACAATTTATTGTTGGAAGAACATTAGTTTGTGACATTGTAATTAAAAATACTCTATGATATTGACGAATTTGAAATCCTTGTCTCTTTCATGTCACCCGATGGTTAACTAGTATTTTCTACTAATCTAACGCTTTTTCCCGACTCGGCCGAATCCAGGCCGGTCAAAACGAGAGCCTTATTACGATTTGTATTTTGTAAATTGTCGTCGACAGAAATGATAAACGAAGCACTATGCTAAAACCAGCTTTGAGAGGGTAGCTAATTAATGTACCAGTGATGAAATTTTATTACATCAGGTAGCGTCGCGTATTGTATTCCGCGCGAAGATCACACAGATATTATAAAATAACGACACCAAAATAGCATCCAAAAACAATGATACAAATGCCGTTTCCACCGCACCATCGATAATTATCTCTTACGATATAGTTGAGGTAAATAGTATTATTTAAATTATATCATGTTGAGTTAATTGTAATTTTAGACGTGTAAAATAACGCTATTAAACGATGTCACGCGGTTTCTTCTAGCCGAACAAAATATATTCGTCGGTCAAAATTACTTTATCACTCAAAATTGCTAATTAATTATTAGAATTCAACAGTTTCAACGGATTCGAGTACAAACTTCCCGTTTCGAAACTTTACAGCTCGACTTTAATATATGACAAAATAAATTATGATATACTTTCCTTATTCTCCTTATTCCAAATTATACTTCTCGTCGATTTTTACACTGTAATTATGGATCTTGGCCCTGCGAAACTGCTAAGAGTCAGAATAAACTACGGTACAATCAATATTTCCGTAACGTTATCACTCTCAGTTTGCAATAATAATGTGTGATATCGCTCGTTACATTGATGAACACCTATTAGATATAATATAATTAGTCAATATCAAAGCAATAACGTTCGTCATCATCATCAGCCATTAATTCCTTGTTCTGTTGGATGGCACCGTTTTAGAGTCTTATTCGAAATTTGCGAATTCTCGAAGGGAGAGATGTATTCTGACCTTCATTCCGCGTCACCATCCGATGGCTGGCTCTTAGAAATGACAATCTTTTTCGTGCAATGCTCGTTCTTTTGAGCATTTTATGACAAAGTGGATAATAGCGGGTACCCTCATCCGACGTACTAAACCTTCATAGTATACTATATATCTTGACGTTAACATACCAAAGACATCAATTAATTTTGGACAAATTAGTTGTTTAGAAGGGTGAGAACAAGCGCGCGCGCGCGAAAGACAGAGAAAAGGAAAACGGCTAACAAATTGATCTAAAGTTACTAAACAGCATTTTGACGAAAAAAAAGAGATACCGATCGGCAATGTTGCATCAGAACATTGTTATTATTTTTGTAAAGACACCTTGTACATGTACTAACTTAGCGTGCTCTGTGGATGGAAACCTACGATATGTTAAATATTATCTATTATTATTATTATTGTATTATTATATTATATATTATTATTGCTACTATAATTACTTTTATCATCATTATTATATCAAAATAAAAACTATGAAATCTTGTTTGAAAATTTTTAAACAGCATATTGATGTTTCACGCGTTTCATTCGTTATCTTTTTTTTTATTAATATTTATTCTGACACACACATTCTGACGTATCCAGTGACGTTATTCTTGTGATATATTCGAATAATATCATTACAAAGTAGGAATAATACTCATTGAAACGATTTTATATCAACGTTTCTCCCGTAATGCCATTTTAGGAATGAAATTCAATTCAATATGCCGTTTATTGTGTAAATTGATCGGAATGTTATAGATATTCATCATTTAGATATCTCGTTTTACTACACTTTTCGCTGGATAACAACAAAGAATTTAAGGAATATAAAATGTAATTTTGGTCAAATCAAGTAAAAGAGACTGACAAAATGATCTGTATCTGTTATGTGTAATTCTTTTTGCAAAGAATCAACTCTTAATTATGTTTTAATTCGCGATCTATTTAAGTTACTATTTAGCTTAGTTATTTAGAAATGTTATTTCAAGCCTCTCTTTAAATGGAAATCGGGATTATTTTTGGAACATATAGCAGAGGAATTTCATACAAAAATAAGCGATATCAGAGACGTAATTTTGCAATATTTATATAAATAATATATATTATAAAATTATTTATATTTATAATTTTATAATATATAATATATTTTTACAAAAGGAGATATTTGTTTCGAATCAAGAAAATATGTTAATATTTTATAACAAAACAAAATACGATTCTCTTCTTAGCAACACTAAAACTAAAAAACAATTTTTTTACAATGTGCAGAATTATATAGCGTTTAAAAGAAAAAAGATTAATTCACATTTTAAAAATATATATATTAATATGTGAATTAATAGAATTAAAAAAAATCAATTAGATTTTTATGAATCGAACGTTTACCAACAAATTATTGTAAATCGTAAAATTATACATCATGCATGTAAACTATAATTCTGCTAAAACCTAAAACAATATAATACATGAATTGGATTATATCGAAAATTTTTAAACATTGATACTTCATTTCTTATTGTAATTCTGCTTGATTTTCTGTTAGCAGATTACACAATGATCAAAAGATATATGTTACATTTGTTAAATTCAATCGACATCTCATGTTTCATTCTGGATGTTTATTTAGCGTTTTGGTTCAGGTTATGAAAGACCTATAAGTAATTATTCCAAAACTTCGAATCACGTGCTTTTATAAACGCTTGTAACTGCGTGTTAACAATTGGCCTTAACGGTTTATTCGGCTCCCATTTTAACACACACGGCGCGACAACGTTGAATTTTTGTCTGGAAAGGCTGAGCAATGCAGATATTATGCCCTCTTGTTGATCGTGTGAACCTGTTTAAAAATGAATCAAATCACATATGTATATTATATCACACACACACACACACACACACACACACACGTTATGTTGCGTAATGAAAACTAGCTTTTCATACAAAACAAAAGTATCACCTTGGCCAGATTTGATGAGGTCACAGAGCTGTTCACTAATCTCACTAATCTTCACGGCATCGTCTTTATTTTCTGATGTAAATGCGCGCAGAAGCCTTCCTGTAAATATATAATATAATATCAGTGAGATGCATTAGTATTCTTTCGTCAAAAAGTAGTACAATAAACGAAAAAAATAAGTGTACCGAGTAAAGAAAATGCACTATATATACAGGGATGCTCATTTCTTATGATCATTGGCAATAGAGAAGATTCAATAATATTTTTATATGTCCAAGACGAGCCTCTTTTCTTCGCAACAAGTATAATAGCCGTATCTAAGCCATCGACTCGTTCAGCTAAACATAATAAAATATAATTTGCAATTAATTAATATAATTCCGTAGAGAAACGTGACGCAAAAAATGTTCTTACCTTTAAGAGTAGTTATAAGTTCCTTAACAATATCACTTGTTGTTTCTTGGCTAAAATTATATTTATAAAATCTTGATAGGTAGTCTTTTAATATGTTTAATTTCTGTACTGACGGCTTCTGAGCTGAATAAGGATTTTCAATTTGCAGCGAGCTGATGAGAAAGGCTATACACTTCGGTAATATTCCTGTAAGAATTCGACATTTATAAGAATAAATTTACATCTTGTATCACAAGTGATGTAATTTTGTGCATAGAGATTTCAATGATCAGAGCCGAAAATATTCATCACTGCTCAGTGATGTGAATCAAAATTTATCATTATTTCTCTCGACAAGATAAATAGTTTTTCTTGCATCTTAGCATGTACGATACCTTTGTTAGCCTCGGCATTTGGAAGAACTTCAGGCCAGCACGTTAATACTGTATACAAAACACCTATTGACTTGAGACCCATGCAATAGAGAGCATTGCAGCACATCATGCGTACTTTTTCTCTGTCCTTCTGAAGACGTGACAGGACGACATAAATCCGCGTGAGCAAGTTAACTGGGAGGATCTACATGTGCGAAAGTGTTAACATTAATTTGTGAATCGAAAGTATCGCTTTGCTATTGTAACAACCTAATTTAATTTGTTATATTATATTAGACAAATAAAATATAAACCTTCATCATAGAATCGTTGATAAGTCTAAACAGATTGTATTCGATGGCAGCTTGTACGAAATAAATCACCGACGGTTTCGACACCTCCAAATCGATCAATAACGTTATGATCTTCTGTTCAAATTTTGTCATCAATGGTGCCGGGGGAGTAAATGACTTATCCAGAGCTTCATCATGATCGACCTCCTCCAATAAAAACTCTACTATGCATCTAAAATGATCACAAGAGAAATATTATTTTCTTGTCTCTTTTTTTTTAACAAGCAAACTTCTAACTTAATTAAATTTTTTTAATGGCAGATATCTAACACATACATAACACATATTATATTACATTATATTAATTCATATATTATATATTATAATTCATTGTATATATATTTATTATATATTTTTTATAAATATATATGTAATATATACATATATATTATATGTATGTAAAATATATATTATATTTAGTCCACAAAAAGCTTTTCTTTTTCAATCGTACAAGGTATATCTGAAATAAGCCTCAATATTTTAAATATATATTTTATTTATAAAAAAAATCCTAAAATCTTTCTACTATTGCTATCTTATTTCAAGCTTCTTATTTCATTAGAACATCAGACATATCGATGCTATATCAGAAATACAGTAGTATTCAATCTAAACAGCCAATTTCTACAAAATGCATTATTTTGGAATATTATTCTTTGTATAACTAGAATTAGAAAATTAAAGTTGTAATAATGGAAAATCTAAAGATTTTAGTTTTTTGTTTATATAAAAATTTTCTTTGTTTTTATTTATTAAATATATATATAAAATACTGCCACTTAATTTTAGGTTCTTTCTGTATATATATTACTAATTTACGCAATATAATATTTCTATCATATTTAACATAATTAAATATATATACAATTTCGTCTGAACATTTGCATATTTAATAGATCACAAAATGTCATACTAACTTGGCTATGATACGAGGTCCGCATGTACTTCCTAATTTTTTTATTATATCGTCATGTATAGCCTCTTCCCAGGCACTGTTTACAAGCCTTCGTAGTTGCTTTTTAACAAATCGTTCTAAAACATATATAGAATTATATTAGTAATCTTGTTCAGCAATTAAAGGGGTAATGTATTTTAGGAGAAAGCATTTAAATTTAAGCGTTTCTTTTTAAACTTTTTTAAAAAAATACATATTGATCTCTCTTTATAAAACTTTATGTACATGTTTATCAATTATTTACATGTATTAAAAGTCTATTATATGAATCTAAAATATAGACCATTAGACAATTTAGAGATAAATGTAAATATACATATATAGCAACCGTTGCTTCAAAGAAAATCAACCAAGAAACATTCAAAAATTATTTTTGTCAAGTCAATATGTATTTTTATAAAAAAAAAATACTCGCTCTTTCATGCGTTTTGAGTACTACTTCTTTAAGTCATATTTTTGTTACGTACCTGTTGTTTTAATAACGCCTTCTATTTGTGCACGTGTCATCTTGTATTTTTTGACACGTTTCTGGCTAATATATTTAATTAATTGTAACTTTGGCGTTTGGAGTTTCTCCTCGACTTCATGATTGGCATCGATAAATTTCATTTCTTTATCTCCATTTGCTTCATTATTAACGCATGTTTCTTCCTTTATTTGATCGAGAGATTCTTTCGTGCTATTCGTATCATTTGTATAATCAACAATGATACCACTATCTCTTGGTGATGGTGAACGTAGAACTTCAGTAGCTCCCTCAGATACATTGCTATTATTATGATTTTTATTTCGCGTTGCTTCCAACACGTTTGATCGGTGTAGAACTAACGACTCGCATTTCGAAATCACATCCTTTGATATTTTGTAATCGTCATGACTCTTATTTCCAAGCGTTTCCAAATCTTCATAAGCGGTCGGCGTTATCTCTTTTTTAATTTTTCGCATTGCTTCCGACACGTTTAATCGGTCGTGTAGAACTGACGACTCGCCATTCGAAATCAAATCCTTTGATATTTTGTGATCGTCATGACTCTTATTTCCAAGCGTTTCCAAATCTTCATAAGCGGTCGGCGTTATCTCTTTTTTAATTTGTTGCATTGCTTCCGACACGTTTGATCGGTCGTGTAGAACTGACGACTCGCCATTCGAAATCACATCCTTTGATATTTTGTGATCGTCATGACTCTTACTTCCAAGTGTTTCCAAATCTTCATTAGCGGTCGGCGTTATCTCTTTTTTATTTTCATTTGTTTTCAATGCTTTGGTAAGCCTATCTTTTTTACAGAGGATACTGGAGTTTGACAGGACTTTGAGTCGCAATATCAATGGAACTGATTCTAAATCGTCCGAATCGTTTGCGATATTATTATGTAATACGTTCGGCTCGCCATTGTTGTTCGATGTCTCTCCTATTACTCTATCCATTGAGATACTTCTGTTGTTTGTATCTTTAATCAAGACGTCATTACATTTGACGTTTTTCTCATCACATTTCTCATTTATTGTACGACTTTTTTCGCTTTTAGTTAATAAATTACTTTTCCGAATACCTAGTTGTGGAATTCCATTACTTTTTTGAGTCATTAAGCTAGCTATATTTCTTATTGTGCTATGTGTAATATTATTTTCGTTGATGCTCAATTGAGAAACTGACGTTTTTGGAGTATGTGCAATTCGTAATTTTTTCACCGGTTCATAATCGTCAGAGCATAATTTATTGTCTTCTTGTTTATTTATGGACTCTATTCGTGTATTCAATTTCTTCTTTAAATCATTTATACTATTTTCTAATGAGCGACCGCCACAACCCTCCTCATTTTCAATTCGCGATTTTTTCGCCAAATTATTGTACTCAAAGCTATGGTCGGAATATGATTCAATATTCTCATGCTTATTTGTAGGCAAACTGGCTCGCGTTTTTCTTTTCAAGTTTCGAATTTTCTTTAATAGGCGATTTTCCTTAATATCGGTAACTTTACCTTTTTGTATATTTTTTCTCTTCATTTTACTTTCCTCTGCATTAATATCAATAATTTTGCTATCGGCATGGTTATTAATAGAATTTTCGTCTTTAGATAAGGATGTTCTTTCGGTTATTGTTTGGTTATCCATAGCTTCTATATTATCTTTGCTTAAGAGATTATCACTCGTGTATATTTCGCCAATCTTATCCTTATGTATATTTTGGCCCTTATTTATTTTATTTTTTTCTACATTGATATCGACGATTTTGCCATCAGCATGATCAGTAGAATTTTCATTCTTAGATACGAATATCGTTCCAGTTTTCGTTTGATTATCTATATCGCTAGCTTTTATATTATCTTTGTTTAAAAGATTATTGCTTGCGTGTATTTCGCCAACCTTATCTTTTATATGTATATTTTGGCCCTTATTTTTTATTTTATTTTTTTCTGCATTAATATCGACGATTTTGCCAGCAGCATGATAAGTGGATTGTTTAGCGTTAGATAAAAATATCGTTCCAGTTTTCGTTCGATTATCCATGCCGATAGTTTTTAAATCATCTTTGTTTAAAAGATTGTCCACACTTGCGTATATTTCATCATTATTTCTCATTTCATTTTCTTCTGCATTAATTTCAACAATTTTGCTATAAGTATGATCGGTGTAATTTTCATCGCTAAATAATATCGTTTCAGTTCTTGTTTTATTATCCACATCCATAGCTTCTACATTATCTTTATCTAAGGAATTGTCGTTTACAGATTCATCGCCACTTAAATATGATGTTAAACTATCTTCGACAGATGCAATTTCTGTTGAATGCAATGTACTTTTTTCATGAGAAACCAACTCTCTTTTGTCAAATTCATCAGTGTCGTTAAGAGACGTATTGGATGTATCCGAAAGTAAATTATTTTTATGTACAGACAACGTATGCTCATATTGTGAAATATCAATCGTCTTCGCAGCATTCTCAGTGTTATTACAAAACGTATCTCGTAGTTGATACTTTTCATCGCAATTTTCAATTTTGCACAAACATGTGTTTTTGCATGCATTACTTTTGTGCAGTTGTTGTCTCCTATTCAGCTTTGCCTTTTTCATACTACAGGTACACGGTTCCGAATCGATATTTCGTTTGTTTCTAGAACACGCCTCTTTTTTCTCATCGTAATATTCTGCCATACTTTTACAGATTATAGATATCAGATTCGTGTTTACTGAGATATCATCCTTACAATTTTTACTGCAACGACAACAAGCTTTCTCCTTCAGTCTTCGAAACTTCTTCATTCTACTTTCTAATAACTGAATTTTTTTCTCCATTTCTTTAATAGAGGAAGAGTGTCTGACTAGTAAATCGTCAGAGCAGAAATTTTCCCTTGCATAATTACTATTTTGAGGCAAAGTAAGTGTTGTAGGAATTGAGCCGAGATTATTGGGTGAACTGGCTTCAACTGGTATATGTGAAATGTCCATATTGCTTAATTCAACATTTTCACAAATTTGCGCCATCGTGGATGACTGTTCTGATTGAAATTTTGAATTGTCAACTATTGAATCGCTATATGAACTGTATGAACTGGGTTGTGGCACAGATGTTCTAGAGAGAGCGTCTTCATTCATTCTATTTGTAGAGTCTGGGTACGTACCTAAAGATTTTTAAAAATATAAACAAGATATTATATATATATCTAA